GGGCTCTGAGCATCTGGCACACCTGCAATGTCAAGGGAGCAGCTTTGTCACAGGAGGAGTTTTGTGAGTCATCCCACCGATGGTGATTAATTGGCACAGCACGTCGGCAGAGCTCGGACCAGCCTCGGACTGCGTGGACGGGCATCCTGTACAGCTTTTGTCCTGCCAGCTGCCTCCAACACTCATTAAACACTCCTGCCCCACTGGCCAGTTGAACATGACTGATGCATGCTACTCTCTGGAACAGCCTGTCTTCTCTTATGCCCTTAACCCGCCACACTCATACTGTATTTCTCTCTTAAAACCTCCCAACAGAGCAAAAGTGTGTCCATGGAAACCTTCCTTGCTTTACACGAGCTATGCAGTCTGTTGCTACACTTTTGCATCGGATTTGTTACTGGTGCTTATTCACTTGGAATGAAACTGTAAACTTGTCTGGAGATGTCCTGAATTATTCATAGGCAACATGTACAAAGATAAGTCAGGGCATGAGATATACAACATCTCATGCTGAAAGCAACATGGGGTGTAAGAGGGAATGATGCTTTGTGGGAGAGCTGCATCCCGACCACTGGGAATGACTTGGAATTGAGTAATGGCCATTAGGACCTGAAATCCAGTTTGCCTTTGACAATGGAAGTCGGGGGAAGTTTTGACAGAGCAGCTGCCTTTGCCTCACTCTGGTTGTGAACACAGCATTGAGGGCTGAAGTCACTTCCAAGTTTGTATTTAGAATTTCATAGGAGCACATAGAGGCAAATATGTCTGATAGAGCTTAGGCAGCTAATTACTTCTTTACACCTATCAAGGAAGTAGTTAGATGACCTCACATTGGCAATGGCTCCAAAGCTGAAGCTGGAAAACTATACATGCAAGTTGGATAAATAAATCAATTTCAGATTTGTCATCCAGCATGTTTTGAGCTCATTTTTCACACAGTGAAGGTATATTCACAATAAAGTATTTGTGCCTTACAAATAATTTCTACCTTCGTCTGAGGTCTGGTACTGAAACAGCCAGAAGCCACTGTTTGTGAACTATTAGTGGACCTTCTTTGAAAATATTGGGTCCAGTTCTGGTTGCACAGCACTCCTGTATATGTTGTACAACTTTCATTTCTACTCTGAGTCTGCAGGATAAGAAATGGGCCCATCTATAAAACCATCACCTAATCAGGCAGTCATGATTTTCTAAAAAAAAAAAAAAAAAAAGACATATATATATATTACTCCGAGAAAAACTAAATGAATTTTCCAATTGGCAATCTTCATCTGGGAATATGTGTACTGGATTGCACAGAAAGTTGACACCAGCCTTCACAAGCCACCCTTGTCCATCAGGGTCTCATCAGCACAGCAGTGACAGTCTGAACTGTGGAAAGACATATTTCAACAGTAGCTAAATGTGGGAGATGAAGTGATTCCATGCTGAAAACACTTCTGTAGGCCTTGGATTAAATAATCAGTTGAAGTCTTGTGCTCATCGTTGTCCAAAATCGGAAAATTTATTTGAAAACACAAAATCTTTGAGAGAAGATAAACTTGGTTCTGACGCAGATATAACCATTAGCAGACTTGGGGAATCATCCAGATTTGAAGATGTTAGTCACCAAAGCAAGGTACCACATGCCACAGCACAGGCTATTGGATTTAAAAATAAGAAAGCTACCTCCCCAAGCCACCGCTGGTTGACCAATTTGACCACTGGGAAGAGACATGTTCCTATTTAAATTAACTCAAACTTCCCTCTGTGCTATCTTTATTTTAAAATCAGATTTATACCAGTTAGCAATTTTTCCCTAAAGCACTTTACAGATCTGTGCCATCACAGTTGGTGTCTGACTTTCAGCTGTCAGTAATGTAGTGCTGCAAGATGTTTTTAACTTAAATTATATATATATATATCTATCTTATATTTAAATTACTTCAGAACTGTGTATAGAGCCTTGTTTTTAAACATTTGTTCTCTTTCTGGAGATTGTGTACACGTGCAGAGTTTGTTAGGAATCCAAGAATTTTCTGATTCTAATACTCCTACGGAATATGACTAAATATTCAGCAATGCTTCAAATTAAGTTAATGCCCCACCCTAGCAGATCAGTTCTTCAAACAGCCTACATTCCTTCACCTGGGAGTGGAAGGAAATCATGAAAAAAAAAGTAAATAAAGGAGTGAGATGGAAAGCATTTTTGCTGCACGATTATCCTGATTCTCAGCTTGCACTCCCTGAGAAATAAGATGGAAGAGCAACCCTTGAAATGCCCCTTGATCATGGCAGGGAAAAATTGCTTGTGGATCAGTACTACCATCCATGCTCACCTTGACCAGCATCTTACTCTGACAGGCCTCTGAATTTAGAGAGGGATCTCAATGCCTTATGTTTTAAAAGCATAATAGATACGAGTGAGACATCCCTCGCAGCACTGTTTCTGCCCAGCTCTCACTGTGGGCTGGAGCAGAGAGGAGGAAGAGTGTTCAGGACACCTCCTCTCCCGTTGTGCAGGATACCGTTCTTTTTACTCAGCCAGTTTCTCCCAGTCTCTCCATAAGGCAGCATTAAAGCTTGAGTTCCTGGCTCCCAGCGTAATTTTCACACATAACCAACCTGTCTGGGTTGAAGAGCTGGGGAGGAGCATATTTCCACACACACATGTACTTGAGAGCACACTCATCCACCTCCATACACCATTTCATACTTATTAGGCAAATATCACAATGACAGCAGACCTTCCTTCCAAACCATCTGGAGGGAATAACTCAGAAATTTTGCAAGACTTTTCCTTTCTTCCTACTGTAATGATTTCGTTACCATAAACCAACCTCCTAGCAGAAAAATCAGTGAATTATGCACCGTGCTGAGCAAAGCCTTGGTGCAGGGTCCATATTTTGCCATTTAGCTCACGACAAAACTCACATGTTTATCAGTCATGCTTGGGAGCATTGCTACTCTTCAGCAGAGATTTTTGCCTTCTGAGGAGGCGGTTTGTGTTCCATACACCCTCTGAATCACATTCTGCTTTTTAGATTTTGGTATGCAACGATGACACAGCAAATTACACCCTTGTAATATGAAAAGATAATATTTTTCTAGCAACAGTTCATAATGCTGTGACCAGCTAGTCCAAAATGGTTAGCAACGACACATAGTCAAATTCTCAAAGGCCTGCTGGTACTGCAGCTCCTCAGAGTCTCTCATTTCCCAGTTTTAGGCTTGAAATGAATGGAGCATCTTGCATGAAGGCATTCCACTCTGGATCATACAATAGTGGGAGTTTCAGAAGAATCTAAGCTTTCTTGACTTTAAGAAGCTCATCTTACATCTTGTGTCTTATTCTCATGATGAGACAACATCTTTGATGACCACTGTGTATATATGTTCTTGATAAGGGGAGATAGAGTCATCCCTAAATCCTCTGCACCTCCAAAAAAGAGATAAATGTGAGCAAGGGAAACTCCATTGCACAGCATGTGCTGCTACTTACTTACTTTGACTTGACATTGATGGATGCATTCAAGTATTTACAAGCTGCCTGATGAGATGACTCAGAGAAAGTTTGAAAGAAACAGCACGGCTGACACCCCTGCTTGAAGGGGGAGGAAGTGGGAGGGAAAGATTGCCTTGAGATCAGAGTTTGTGGTTTTTTAAAATGCTGCTGCTTCACAAGCCCACTCTTTGTGCTGGAGTAATTATGTGGGTGTACTAGGAAAAAAAGCTAAGCAGCTTGAGAAAGGTCTGGCTGTGGGGAACCCCAAATTTAAAAATCTCGAAGAAGTAGAGCAGCTCAGTAGTCCTGGAGGAGGACATGCAAGCCATCTTTGCAAGAGCCCAGAGCAGTTACTGGGTCAGTCCTAGGACAGTTTGGGGTGAAGGTCAGCCACCCATGGGCAACAATGCCTACTTTTCCATCATCCTGCCTGTAGAACTCCTCCCTCCTGGGGTTGCCCCCAGTCTGTGGCATTGCACATAGATCAGCACACTTCTCCCATAACTTGAGGACTTCTTTAATTGAAGGTTTCCATGACCACATGAGGATGCAAAGAAGAGTAGGGATTGGAGAGCCAAAACTCCATCCAGACCTCTTTCTTTCTCCCCTACAGTGTTTGTGGCTAGGCCCTGGAGTTGTGTCCTGGTACCCACCAGCACCAAGCCTTCTTGCTTGGAGTCAGGCTAAAGCCATGGCAAGGCACAGAACTGCCACTCTGGAGATCGTGTCTGTCATCACTGACTTTTCAAAGAGCAGAAAGAGAAAGAAATGTGCATCCTGTTCTGTGAATTACCGTTTTTGAGCTGTCAGGCAGGAAATATCTGCATCAAGCTGGGAAGGCAGTCCCATAAGCCATCACATTTAACTCTTCCCATTGTTTCAACAGCTTGTGCAGGTCACAGAGCTCCAGTGTAGAAAAAAAGCCATGGAAGCTGCCTTTCTCCACAGCTCTGTATGGTAGTGATGAACCCCCACCTGTCCTTACACCATCTCCCCATGTCACAGGGAGGGGAAGTGCCTTTGTACAAGGGAAGAGTGTACTTAAAACTTGGACCTCATCCCCATCCTCAGGACAGCAATCCTCATACTGTAACCTGCATGGTAGGGAGAACAAGCCCCTCCAGTAAACACTTGGCACTTTTCCCCAGCATGAAGGAAGAGGAGGAAAATTTAAACACTTGGCACAGTTCCCCAGCATGAAAGAAGAGGAGGAAAAAGATCATTTCATCTTCAGAGTGTATACTACCCCTTACCGAGTCCTAGCAGGGATTTTGTAACACACCTCTGTACGAACCAAGGATGTGAGCTATTTCTTGTGTGCATTGCTGTTTTAATTCATCAGATAAGCTCCCTTCAGAGTCCAGTTCAGGCAGTTCCAGAAACAATCTGGGAATGTCTAGAGCATCCTCTGCCTGCAGGTCAGGTGAGCTCCACTCCAGCCGTGGGGGCCTGAGTAGAGGTGCTGCTCTGGAATTGGGAGCTTGGCACGGATTACCCACCTCAGGACCTACCCAGGCACTGTAGCAGAGACATACTCTGACTTGCACAAGGAATGTGATGTATAAGAATTAATCTTCACCCAAGGAAATATCCAATGTTGCTATTTATATTTTGTTCATATCTTCTAGGGGTTTGAATAGTTCTGGATGTTTCCTGTTCCTTAAAATAAAAAAAAAATAAAGAAAAAAGGGGGAGAGATTGAGAAACTACTGGAAAATCCTAAAATGGCTGTCTTGTTCTGAAAAAAATGAGAGTTTATTTCTCTCAAAAGTTTTTTGCAAAAATCTCTAATTGCATCACAAGATATTTTATTTCCTTGGAATTTCGTTTTTCTGTCAGACTTTGCTGAAAGGGATATTTTTCTTGTCAAATCTTGTGTAATTACAAAAATAAAGGCACATTTACAGCTATGGTGGTGAAATTTCATTTGGAATGAAAGACATTAAAGAAATGTAGGTGTATTGATGTTGTTGCAAATAGTATTATGTAACAGAAATTTGGATGAAATGGACTCGTAGGTCTTTACTAGAGGTGAGATTACTCATTTCCCAGTGCTCAACAGAACTAGCTGCCCCTGCTAACACCAATGGAACAACTTCAGTGGAACAACTGCAGGGGAAACTGGTTTGGGATACTGGTACCTCAAATTAATTCCTCCTTTCTTTTAGGAGTATAAAGGAACAAAACTCCGACTGGTAGAGTGCAGTGAGGAAATTAACTTAATTGCTGAAGCAATAATGCTTAATACAAATCATGACACACAAATAAAATCCAGGAGAAAGGAGCCTCTAGCTGCACAAGAAAAAAGCTCTATGAGATTTTAAAATGTTCCCTTGCATGCATATATGCAGTGTTCTGTACAGTAACCATAAAAATGACATGGCTGTTTTATACCTTTCAAGCACAAGCAACCTGTTTTGACTTTGTAGCACTTGGTGAGTCATTAGAGAAACTGATCTTACTAAGAGCTTTGCTATTTCTCTTGTTCTAACTGAGATAACTGAAAAAAAAAAAAGGCTTGGGTACGATACATACTGCAAAAACAAAATAATGTGCATGTTCACTGTCTCCCAATCCCTGCCATGTGCAGGCTTGGGTATCCAGATTGCTCTTACTTTGCCATCCAGGATAGGCACCAGCTCCAGAGTTGCTTATCAGAGGTGGAGACTCACTGGATATCCTTTCCTCTTTTCCTGCAAGTGCATGGGGAGAGAAATGAAGGTATCTTTTTGCTCAGTAAGAGACTTAGGCACGGGGTGATCTGGCCTAGCTGGTGTCTGTGATGACACCTGGCCATCCACCAGGTCTCAGCCATGGATCACCTGGGCACACTAAGCCTTGAGTTGGAGCTACAGATCCAGGTACTGCACCCCTCACAGGTCTCTCAGTTCATCCCCTGCCTGGGACCTGCCCACTGAGCCCTTCTGCCCTGCAGATCCCCTGCTCTGTGCCATCCTGGCCTCCACCCCAGCTGGTGCAGCCAAACTCTGCACAGGGAACAGCACAAATGAGAGCAAGAAGACAAAGACACCACAAAGACTTTGCCCAGTGTCCGTGATCATACCTCTGCTCTCCTTAATAGTCAACCACCAGAACTCAAAGCACTTTACAGGAAGAAAAGCAACAAGTAACCCATAAATAAAGTATTGCAATCCTTCATGATGTATTTTTTCTCCCAAGCAATCAATGTTTCTGCAACAAAGAGATTATCAACTCCTCTGAGTGGGAAAGGAGGGGTCTGAGTGTGAGGGGGCTCTTCTGCAGATGACACACCGCAGAAAGAAGCGCCTCTCCTACAGGATGCAGCACATCAAATCCAAAAAATGGAAGATATCCCTGCACTATGGAATCATCTTATCTCTGAATCCAAACATCTGTGAATGTTATTTACTTATTTTTGAAGGCTGAACAAGCAGTTTTGTGTGCAGAGAGGCAACAGGGTGTTATTTGCTTCACTGTTCATACCTTCAATCTTTGGCTGGCTGTATATGGTATTTTGCTGTTGAATACCAGTGGACTCTTTCATGGTGTCTGAAAGCTTGTCAATAAAAATAACTGCAGCAAGAAAAGAACAACTTTCCTATCGTGCAGCACTTTCAATTAATCTCTTGATAGCAAGTGGTCAGGTGTCACCACTATAAAACCACAGCATTCTGGGATAATGTATAACCTGAACGATAAATCCAGTATTGTATTCCTAGTCTTTAACATCCTAGTCTTGCACAGATATGCAAGGCCCAATGTCACTGCTTTTCCCTTCAGTTTAACCAAGGTTGGTCTGTCTGCTTAAGCTGAATGTTCTTCTGACTCCTACTCCTTTCTAAAACTAACCCACTTCATCTGCTGCCTGAATAAAAAGCTTCGTGTTAGTCACGACATCTTCCTGCACTGTTTTATTCACAAAGTTTGACAGAAAAATACATGTTATGAAACCAACTTTTAATGCTTGATGGGAATAGGTCCAAACCTGCCTGGGCAGCTGTCCTTCTGTGAAGCTGAAGGCAGCATTAAGGGCTCTGATGCATTTTCACCCTACTTGATGTGTTGCCAGCTTTACCCCCTGATCAGACCAAAGACCAATAAGTTGGTTGGTCCAAAGGCCCATCAAATCCAGTACTTCCCCTCTGACAGTGGTCAATAGTAGGTGTGTCAGAGCAGAAGAGGACAAATAAACTGTGGTGATTCCCACCACAGTATGCTTTTACCTTGTCTCAATCTGCTGCCTGCACAATACTGATGCCAGATGTTGTGCTCACAGTTTTAATAGCCCTGGAAGTTTTTTTCTTTTAGTGTTTTGGTCATCTTGTGAACCAGTTCAGACTTTCCACCCTATATCATCCTATGAGTAAAACATATCCAATGATCATGCAATGAATAAAACACTTCCTTAATTTGCTTCAAATCTTCAGTCTGATAACACTGGAACAGGTTACCCCGAGAAGGTGTAGAATCTGCATCCTTGGAGGTATTCGAAACCAAGGAAGACAAATCCTGACCTAAGCTGGATCTGCTTAAAGAGATATTTGGACCAGATTACCTTCAGGGGTCTCTTTCAATCTAAATCATCCTATCTTTACAACTTCTCAGGGTGTTCACCCCCTTTTTTAGCAAGAAATATTGAAATGCAATGAAGATGGTGAAGGGCCCTGAGGGGAAGCCATGTGAGGAGTGGCTGAGAGCACTTGATCTGTTCATCCTGGAGCAGAAGAGATTGAGGAGAGACCTCATGGCAGCTACAACTTCTTCCTGAGGGGAAGGGGATGGGCAGGCACTGATCTCTGCTCTGTGGGAACCAGGGACAGGACCCCAGGGAATGGCTTGAAATTGTGTCATGGGATGTTTAGGTTGGATATTAGGAAAAATGTTCTTCACCCAGAGGGTGGTTGGGTGCTGGAACAGACTCCCCAGGGCAGTGGTCACAGCACCAAGGCTGACAGAGTTCAAGAAGCATTTGGATAATGGTCTCAGGCATATGGTGTGACTCTTGAGGATGGTCCTGTGCAAGGCCAGGAGTTGGACTTGATGATCCTTGGGAGTCCCTTCCAACTCAGCATATTCTGTGATTCTGTGAAATACTTCTTTCTTTTCACTTTCTTCTTAATCATTGACCATGTCATTCACAACCCCATGAAATACCACAAACCAACATCCCCTCTCTACTCTTGCCATCTCTCTCTTTTCCAGACTCAAGGCTGATTTTTCTGTTCAGCCTCTCCCCTTAGAAAAGGGTGAGGTGTTCTGTAACTTTACGCATCCTTGCTGCCCTTCTCTGAACCTTTATTAATTCTACTTCATCCCTCCTTAGGCAGGGAGGAAGGACCAGAAGTCCCTGCACAGTTTAAGAGGTGAGTAAACCAGGCACTTTTTACTATGGGAAAGTGGTATATCCAGACTATTAGATAAACTTCAACTAATAATCTCAGTTTGGGCAACTTTTGGAGAGCCATGAGCCATGAAACAACATTTTCTTCATAATAGTCCTGAACTCCTACTTCTCTCTCTTGACGTTGTTCTTTATTGTAGTCTCATCTTACAACATCCTCACTTCTCTTCTTTCCCCATGACTACTCTTCACCCTTGCACTTTCCTACCAGCTGGGGCAACACTGGTGTTTGTGGGGCTGTACAGAAGCCAGACAGTCTTAGCAGCAGCTGTCATTGCACCAGAAAACTCCAGCTTGGAGTGAAAGGCTCTGGCTTCTCGGCAGCCTCAGCCAGTGTGGCTTCAGGCCACCAAAGCCACTTCTGCTGCCCTGCCCCACAGCCCTGCCCCTCTCCTGCAGCACCTCCAGGGCCCCTTGAACAATGTCCTGCCACACTTCAGAGCACTTCTCAGCTGAAACTATCTTCACAACAACAACAACAACAACAAAAAGGTAACAGGTAGTTTTCTTCAATGTTAACACCTCAAAATGGCTCTGCAAAGGAGCAGAGAACGTCTTAGCCAGCGTAGGGGATGAAGTGGGGCTGTGAGAGAGGGGCACATGGAGGCACTGCAGTGCAGAGGCAGCTGTTCCATCAGCTGAGGCTGCTGTGGGATGCAGCTGTGCTCACTCTTCCAGAGAGGAGTCCCTGGAAGCTCATAGCCTGAGGAAGGAAGCTGCTAATGAGCATTTTTCCTTCTTCCCTTTCTCAAATGCAAAAGTACAATTCTTTTAATGGCAAATGATAATAACTGTAATATGTCATGATTACACTGCACTTTTTTTTTTTCTCAGCAAATCTTTACTGGCTTTATGTAAAGCCTGTCCTCACAAAGCTGTGTGAGGTATCTAAGACTGAAAGCAGAAGGCTGTCTGACAGATAAATAAGGTGAAATTCAGGGAACTAAAACTATGTGATTGAGTTCACACAGTCTTTTAGAAGCAGTCAAGAAGCAGGACTTAAAGGTCTGTCTCAAACTTCATTAATGACTTTAGCCACTGGAAAAACTGCTTGTACAGAAGGAAGAATTCCTCCAGGTAATACTGCTGGGTAGGTGAGTGAGGAGAAGCCTGATGAGTGTCTGAAGCAGACACCTAATTCCTTTTTGTGCTTTTCAGGCGCCTTATCAACAGTCTTATCTTTTAGTATCTGTAGCCTTTCATTCAGTTTCTCTTCCCTAAGAGGGATGGCTCAGGTTTAGATGCCTCACACAGATTGCAAAAACAATTTTCTGTCTGGGTCAGACTACTCCTCTTTTACAGATTTCTCTTCTGAGATCCCTCCAGACCTCTCTTTCTTCTCTTCAGAAATCTGAAAAAGATAAGCCCTGCTCTTCTAATAGTAAGGAGACATCCTGGTCCCAGCCTAGGGCCTCTGCTCTCCAGCTATTGGCCCTGCCAGCAATCATCATGGGCTTGAGTCAGGAAAACATTTCAAAATTTTAATACATCAGTCCCCGTTCAGGAGAGCACTGCAGTCAGGAACATTCGAACTCACTTGCAGACCCCCTGTACTGTCAATGAACTCTTGTAGAAAATGAGTATAATACCCACAAGACAACAAAGCAGAGTAAGTGTAACATAGTTGGTGGGACTTTCATGTTTGTCTAAGGTTTTAAGTAGTCCATATTTTTATATCATATGACTTTGAAAATGATATTTGTTCATGTAATTAGAGACTGTACTGTCACAAGGCAGCCAAATTCAGACTCTGTGTGCAACCTGAATGTTGTCATTTCCTGGTATCTGTTTAAAATATATTCTTCATGCATTCTTTTATAGGTTTCTTCCCCCCAACTCTTATTCAATATTCCAAAGTATTTTAAATTATTTTTAAAAAAATGAAAAGAGAAAAAGAGAAAACTGAATTCCTAAGAACTATGGCAATGACAATGCTACATACCTCTAAGGAAAGGTCTTTTTCTTTGCATACTCTGGGAGCTACAACCACAACATCAGCAACAACCATGTCTAGCTTTGCAGAACCAGATCACAACCTGAACTGCCATCAGAAACTTGGAGTGTCCCACCAAATGCTTTCCACCCGTCAATCTCGAAGTGGGTTAAGAAGAAGGGCAAATATTACTGTCTGCATTTCACACTCACACAAAGGTACTGTTTCCAAAGAATTGAAGGGAGATATCTTGAGGGGAGAGGTCAGGAGCAGTAAAGTCATGGAACAGCACAAGGCTCATCTAAATCCCAAACCAGAGCATGACTATCCCATCAAATATGTTGCCTCCTTTGGAGTTTTCTTTCATCAGAAGATACTCTGCTATCCTGTGAGGGCACTCTATTCCATTACAGTAAAAGCAAGAAGAATAAGATGGAGGCAGTTCTCATTGCCAATCAATTTTTTTGTGCTGTCATTGACTTACATGTAAACCATAGCCTGCCTTTGCACCAAATATTACTTAAAAGGAATAGTGCCACTTGCACTCTGAGTGCCACAGCTCTGACTCAATCCAGGCCCACTGGACCCTTAGACCATGACAGTTCCCTAAGGCAAGCAGGGCCCAAACCACACTGCAGCACCTCTTTCCCTGGGCACTGAGCATGGACGACAGGGTGATGGCTCCCATTACTACCCAAAATTGCAAAGACAAACTGAATTTCAATTTTATTTTGATTTCAGGCTGCCCTGCATATTGTACCTTTGGTAAGAAAAAGCAAGAGCTCAGGCTCTCCCAGGAAGACCTTGTCCTGAAGCTGTTGCAGAGGAGAAAGCTGTACAAATTGTTTTTCTTTTACAGGAACATGATGTGCAGAACAACATGCTTGGCTCCAGAACCCAACGATAAGGCAGGATGCGGGAATTGCCTCCCACTCTGGCCACAAACCCAGAACCACATCCTCTCTCTCAGGAACAATCTGCTGTTTTTTCCTCTGTTGCCTACTACTGACCACGAGGATGGTGGACATCCCACTCCAGCCTGAAAGGGATTGTTTACCCTGTTATGAATACCATAGCTAAGAGCCCACAACTAGTCGAATCACAGCCCCTGTAACCTGAGTGCAGAGATGCACTCCTGCTCTGTGAGGGCTCCTTTCCCATCCTGCAGCAGATTTCTGCCTCTGATAGTTCAAAAACCTGCTCTTCAGAACGAAGAAATACTAATGCAACCACTTTCCTGACACTCTTGTTTTTAACTAGACAATGGTCTTTTCATACCCCCCATATTAAATCTGATGAGATGGCTTTGCTTAAACCTGTACACTCATATACATATTTTCATGCTGAGACAATGTTTAATAAGCTCAGTCCTGCCTAACTAAATAACTTCTGTCCAACAGGCATTGCTTAGGTAGGTTCACAAACCTTGAAAGGAATTACCTGGATACCCTTCATTTTTATGGCTCCATCCCTAGTGAATAGGGAATCATGGTTGGAGTTCTAACAACACTGTGATCATTCCCATCTTCCTATATCAGCAATCCCACTAAAGCCCAGGACAACTTTACCCTAAAGTGAGAAAGCAGTGAGCATTCAATACCACTAGCATTCAGCTAGAATCTTGTACAAGCTCTGGAGGGGCTCAATTTCCACTGTGAGTATTGTTCTCCCTAAAATAGGACAAAACTCCATGAAGAACAAGCCTTTTTTCACAGCTGTGATGGAATCATATTCTCATCTATTCTAACAAAAGGATAAAACCCAGAACAGTCAAAGTTGACAGGATAAATTAATCCCTCTTAATATTTGTCCTGCACTTTAATCTCAAGTGCCACTAACCTACGTTGTTTAAAAACAATCAGCTGGTCTCTGTTTCAATACTGGTTTTGTGTGCTCTAGAATCAATTTTTCCTATTTGTACTCTCTTCCATCCCTTCACAAGTTTAATTTCCTTATTTAAAAATGTGCAAGAACTATAAATATCAGAAAAAGCAAACCTTTCAGCCATGAGGCTGAATG